CATGTTGTTTAGTTTCCATGTATTTTTGTATTTGGGGGGATTCTTGTTGGTGATGGTATTTATCTTTATTTCACTGTGATCTGAGAAGAGGTTTAGTATTATTTCAAACTTTTGAAATTTGTCATGCTTGATTTATGCCTGAGACTGTGATCAGTCTTGGAGTACATTCCATGTACTGATGAGTAGTCTGTATATTCTGTGGTGTTGGGTGGAGTGTTCTGTAGATATCTATTAGGTTCAATTAATTGAGTGTCAAGTTAAAGTTCCAGATCTCCTTATTGGTTTTTTCCCTCGATAATTTGTCTAGAGCTGTTAACAGGGTATTAGTCTGTGACTATGATTGTGTAGATGTCTATGACTGCTCTTAGTTTATGTAGCAATTGTTTTAATTAGGTAGCAATTATAAATCCTGATGCTCCTGTGTTAGGTACATATTTGAGGGGGGGACCCAAAAAAGCAGAATTTATTTATAAAAAATTGCATACTTATTCATATGTGTTTAAACTTCAGTCATCTTCAGAGTACTCTCTATTTGATGCAATACACTGATCAAGACACTGTTTCTACTGCTCAATACAGTTTTTGAACTTGACCATTTTGATGCCTTTTAGTGCTTCTCTTGTTTGTTTCACCTCTTCTACATCAGCAAAATGTTTCCCTTTGAGGACTTTTTTTTATCCAAGGAAACAAAAAAATGTTACTTGGAGTGAGATCAGATAAATAAGGAGGGTGGGGCATAGGAGTCATGCCACTTGGGGTCCAAAAGTGCTGAACACTCAGTGTGGTATGAGCAGGTGCTCTTGTAAATTACTCATCATGAAGTGAGCAAATGTGTTGAAAGAATCTTCAAAAAATATTTCACTGAAGCAGAACACAGCATCTCACAGCAATTCTAGCTGGTACACTGATGCCTGTGGGTTCCTAGAATATTTACCTTGTGGGGGAAGCCTGTGCCTTGAGAGACCTACCCTCCAAAAGATAATTCCATTGGGGGGGTCCCCCTTCCTATATTTAAGATGGATATTTCTTGCTGGTGGATTGAGCCCTTTATCATTATGTAGTGTCCTTTTAACTTTTTTTTGGTTTGAAGTCTGTTTTGTCTGATATAAGAATAGCTACTTCTGTTCTTTTTTGTTGTTCATTTGCCTAGAAGATCTTTCTCCAGCCTCTTACTTTGAGGCTTTGGGTGTCCTTTGCAGTGAGATGAGTTCCCTGGAGGCAGCAGAATGTTGAATCATTTTCTTTATCCAGTTTGCTATTCTGTGCCTTTTTAATGGCACATTTGGTCCATTTACTTTCAAAATTATTATTGATATGTGAGAGTTTATCCCTCGTAGTGCTCTTTTTAAAAAAAAAAAAAAGCAAAACAATCTTATTTATTTTTTATTTATTTTTAGCTTTTGTGGTTGATCTGTATGATGTTAACTTTGTGCTTGCCTATGCTTTTGTGATGGAACCATTCTTTCATTTCTGTGCTCAAAACTTTCTTAAGCATCTCCTGAAGGACTTGTGTGGAGGTGGTGTATTCTATTAGGGATTGAATGTCTGGGAAAGATTTTAATTCTACATCACTGATGAAGCTTCACTTGGAAAAATAGGAAATTCTTGGCTGGAATTGCTCATCTTTAAGAACATTACCATGGAACTCCCGTCCCTTCTGGCTTATAGGGTTTCTGCTGAGAAGTCTGCTGCCATTCTGATGAGTCTTCCCCAGTAGGTGGTCTCTCCCTTCTCTCTAGCTGTCTTTAGGATTTTTTCTTTCAAGCTTGCCTTTGGGATATGGGTTACTGGGTGTCTTGGTGATGGTCTTCTTATGTAATACCTGGTGGGGTTCTCTGAATCTTTTACATTTGGGTGATTGCCTCTCTAGTGAAACAGAGAACATTTTCTTGGATGATCTCTTGGAAGGTTTGTTCCTGAATGTTCTCAGTATCCCCTTCTGTTTGGGGGATGCCAATAAATTATAGATTTGGTCTCCTTACATAATCCCACAACTCTCAACGGCTTTGCTCACTTTTCCTTCTTGCCTTGTTTTTGCCAGACTGGGTTAGTTCAGTGTTTTTGATCTTCACGCTCTGAGATTCTTTCCTCTGCCTGGTCAATTCTGCTACCTAGGCCTGTCATTGTGCTTTGAAATTCCAGGAAGGAATTCATGTCCAAGATTTCAGACTAGACCTCTCTTATAATGGTCAGTCCAGCTTTTATGTCCTGCACTGCTTTTGTTGCCTGGGTGACCTTTGCTTCCGACCTCTCATTGTCTTTCTTAGCCATTTTTGCCATCCATTGTCTGAGTTATGTGTCTGTCATCAAGGATGGGTCATTCTGGATGGATTCCATTGTTTGAGGACTGGGAGGTACTTTTGTAGGTGACGCCTCCTTAAGGCTTTGAGGATTGCTGGTGTTTTTTCACTGGTTCCTCCTCAACTCTTCTCTTTTTATTATTATCATTTAGTTTTGATGTTTTGTATTTAGATATAGTCTAGTTCCCCTAGGGCTTTTTCTACCATTCAAAATAGCTCACACAGCAGGAAAGAGAGGGGGCAACTACTCCAGTACTGCCACTCTTTCTAGGTGGTACTCAGAACTCCAAGTGACTTTCTTCTGCAAAGCTTTCCCATGGACAGACTGCGCAGACTGCTTTCCCACCCCAGTTGCAAGCTCTTTGTGAGGATTAGAGGGATGGGCCCCCCTGGTCATTCAGCAGCTCAGGACTCAAAGAGACTTTCCATTGCAAAGTTTTCCAGTAGCCAGGCTGACCATACTGTTGTTCAACTCCTCTGTTACAGGGGATAAGGGAGGATGGGCCCCTTAGCCACTTAGGTGGCACTGCAGGAGAGGCAATGCCTTCCACAGCCCAGAAGCACTCCTCCCTAGAAACACAGTTGCCAGTGCCTTTTATGACTCTCTCTCCCCGGTCAAAGGCCACATTCAAAACAAAAGCAGCAAGTCCCTGCCACGGTGGAACCTTAAGAGCAAGTGACTCCAAATCCATCCAATTTGCTGCAAAGTCCATATATTTGTCTTTCTTTACAGCTGCATAATATTCCATTGTGTATATGTACCACATTTTTTTAAATCTAGTCCAGCTTCAGTGGGCAACACTGTTGGTTCCATGTCATACTCAGTGATTTATCACGAAAATAAAGAACTGAGTCCCATATGTTCTCATTCATAAGGTGACCTTGAACAATTATAATGCAGTAAAGAAAGCAGTTGGCAGTAGTGGAAAACTGTCAGGGAAGCGGGGGTGGGACTGGCAGTTGGAGAAAACTGCTAGGGGAGGGAGGGGCATACCTCATCAACAAGGGTACCTGCGTGATCATTGTCTGTATACCTAACCCTGAATTGTACCCTACATCTTTATAATAAATAAATAAATTTTTTTAAAAAGAGCAAGTGAGACTGACACATGGTCCTTCCTGGTCTGGGGACTGGCTGCCAGACACTGGCGGTAAATACTAAGTAAGTTCACCCAGCAGGTGAACTTTGCAACCAAGCACTACTGGTGGGGAACACACTCTCAGAGGTTGACTGGTAGGCATTTCAGGCTCTGGTGGGTTCCCAGCTCCACATGGGCTCTGGCGGCATGTCTTGTGCCCTAACCAGGCCTCCTCCTGTGTGGGACTGAAGACCCTCAAGCAGCTGGGGGGAGGGGAACTGTTGTAGACTGTGTCGGGAGCATTCACCCCCTCTCACATACAAAGGAGGACTGCAAATCCTATGCGAGCCTGGTGGTGAGGCTGGGGCCTCCCAGCTCCAAAGCTGGCTACCCATTCTCTCTCTTCCTTGATCCCCATGTGTTCCAAGAGTCCTATGCAGAATATAGGTTGCATTCTCCATCTAAGCCTACTGAAGCTGCTTAGGGTTACCAGTGGCTGGGACTGTCTTCCTTATTCTGTTTTGTGAGAAAGGTGCTGGTTGGCTACTCTCAGGTGGCCATCTTGGATCTCCTGACATTTTAAATTTTTAATGGTTACATTGCTGTTTGGTGTCTTACTTTCAGAGAGGGAAAGTAATCAATGTCAACCAACTCCTTCAGAGGCATTCAGAGCAACAGCCTACTTAATAGGCCTCATATCATGTTTGTTACTTCGCAGAATTTAATGCAATACAGGGAAAATACCTTGAATGAACCTTGGGAGACCTGAGGTCTTGTCCTAGCTTCACCACTCTGGGCAAATCATTTGATCTATCTAGCTCTCAGATTCCTCGTAGTCAAAATGAGAAAGTGAGAGACACTGACCAGGTGATCATAAAGTTCTGAAACTCTAGAGAAATGAGAACATGCAGTTTTTAAGTATGGAAGGGGTTCAGCCACCTAATCAATCATATAGAACTGGTAGAAGTCACTAGAATGTAAGATCCACTAGGGTGAAACTGTTTCTCTTATGTTCTCTGCAGTATGCCAAGCAACCAGAGCAATGCCTGTCTTGTAGTTAATGCCCAAAAAGTATTTGTTGGTCATTGAGTAATAGTTCACTTTGTCATTTTAAAAAAAAATCTGTAAATAGAAAGTAGAAGTTAGGTGACTTATTACCCAAGAAACATAATTTATTTTCTACAGACTAGTCCAATCTGTGATTTCCTCATGCCTAGGAATTCATGAACTTTCTATTAATGAGGAAATCCCAGGCTCTTTAGCACTTAACTCACCAACTCCAGTATTTAGGAATTTTGTAACAGCAGGGCTTCCTCATGCCTAGGAATTCATGAACTTTCTATTGATGAGGAAATCCCAGGCTCTTTAGCACTTAACTCATCAACTCCAGTATTTAGGAATTTTGTTAACAGCAGGACTTCATGAAAGTCAAGCCAGCCGTAGGTCTATAGGAAAATAATCATTCAGCTTCTCCATTTTCTTTTGTTTGATTTTTTCATGAGAATCTGTGTTGCAAGAAACTCCTGTGTTTCCTTAGCGACAGAGGAGGAAGAGGGCTGATAATAGAAATTGATAACAATGGCAAATGTGATAAACTTTTTTGGTTTCTCTTCTCTGACAGGAGGTCAGTCCTCTCAGCAGCCATCAAACTACGGAATGCAGCAACAGTAAATCAAAGACTGAGTCGGGGGTTTCAAGAGTTAAATCTTTTCTTCCTGTTCCTAGAAGTAAAGTCTCCCAGTGTTCCCAGAACACCAAAAGAAGCAGCAGCAGCAGTAATACAAGGCAAATAGAAATAAACAACAACTCAAAAGAAGAGAATTGGAACTTACACAAAAATGAACAAGTAGAAAAACCTAATAAATAGGCCTGCCTACAATATTCTCACTATTAACTTCTGTATATTTCATACAGAAACCAAGGACAACAAGATATAAATACCTTTAAATAAAATGTTTTCACTGTAATATAAATTATGAGTGCGGGACCACTATTCAATTTTTTGTAAAGAATGTATTTATAACCAACATTTTTTTGCTTTTTTTTTTTTTTTAATCTGTAGTGTTGAACTTCAATACCAAGAAGTTATGCCAACTTTTCAAGTAGTTTTGTAATAGATAAATTGAAATAGTTTTAATCAAGATGTTCAGGGGTATTAAAAACAATCGTCTGTGTACTGTATATCTATATATATGTACATATGTATGTATATTTAAGGAAGTCCACAAACCATATTGCATATCACATGTTACAAAATGTGTACAACATTGGCTTAGATAACATATACCATTTTAAATGAAGATCATAATTTTATGTTTACTTGATGGGGAATGACTAGAATAGGGCAATAACAAATCATTTCTAAACAGTTATTTTCCATTAAAAGCCATATTAAGTATTTTGCCTGTTAAATTCTAGTTTTATGTTTTAAATCTTTTAGTGGTTACATTGCCATTTGGTTGCATCATGTATATATTTATGCTTATGAGTTTGCATTATGACTCCTGTAAAATATGAAATTATAATGCAATAAAAGTGTTATCTTTCTTACAAAAGTTTTGTACCTAAGTGAATATTTTAAAAAAACCTGCATAAATGCTTCAATAAATTAATTCAGAGCTAACTCCCTCTTCAATATTATTTCTAGTAGTACAACTGCAAATAAAATTGATAACATTATTTTCTAGAAATGTTTCTTCTAAAATTATTGATGAAATTACTTATACAACTCACAGTTAAGATGCTTTGACACCAAATAAAATACTGATTTAGTGAAATTATTCTGCTGTATTTTTTATCCATTGCTCTTTATAGTGTATCTGTGCAACAAATAATTTGAGTTTACCTTAGCAATGCTCAAACTTGTCCTTTGTGTCAGTATTTCACTAACTGTTCACAGAATGACTTACCCTTATTTCAAAGTATTAGATACCTGATTTAAATACTTCAGTGGAGCACTGGCAATCAGGTGCTCACTGAATACCTTCCGTTTTTTACATAAATACCAAAAAGTATGATTTTATACCAAGAATCTTTTAATTGTCTAAAACTATTGAAAGCTCTTTTTTTTGGCCAGAATGGTTGTTTACACTGAAGTATACATACCTGCATTGATATTGTGTTAAACTCTACAAAAATGTCTGCAGATATCTTTAAAACAATGTGTAGTAAAGACTATGTCACCTAGGGTATGGTAGAGGAAGACCTTATCGTGGAGGAAGAGCTGGACTCCAACTCATATCAGCATTCTTCCTGGGCTTCATATCTGTTTCATCTCTGCAAGGTTCCTAGGGCTGTACAGTGAGATGGGAGGACTAGATCAAGGGTGGAAGATACATAGGAGAGAAGAGCTATGGGAAATAGGCTTGGACACAATAACTCTTTTAAGCCAGACTCCGATTCTGGTTGCCCTGGTATTAGTTGACACTGGAGTGTTTTCACAAAAAGACACTAATCTTGGGAATAAAACTGAATGCTCTCAGAATCATAGACCAACATACCCAGATTCAAGTGGCACTAGTGTGTTTTTCTACTGCTTACACACACCCAGATTTTACCAATTTGATTTGTTAGTGCTAACGGCATTGCATTTTAATTTAGCAGCTTTTCTGAAGACAAAGACCCCATTAGTGCAGTCAAGGACCAGGGTGAGAAACACACCAAATTGAGAATACATTATTAAGATGACTGTAGTAACTGATGCATGCAGCTTCATCAGTAACATTCAACATGTGCATTTTTAATAATTGGATAGCAGACTGCAAGATGTCTAAAGAGAACATTTAGAGTAGAAGCTTTCAAAACACAAGTAGAGGCCTACTAATGGGTTATTATATCAATTTAATGAGTCACAATATGCATTTTTAAGGAATGGAATAGAAAATGTCAGAGTCATCACAGTCAAAAAAGAACTGTTTGTGAAGGGTTTGTTTCCATCATGTGATATAAAGTATAATAACACTGTAGGGTCATGGCTAAAATCTTTGTATGTCAATAGCATATAATGGAACCTGATGGTGGTACTGGAGCTGCATTGGGAGTCCTGCAGTCTTTGGTGGTAAACAGCCTGGGGGACGAATTAAGCACTGTCATTTATTAGCAGTGTGACATGAGACAAGTTATTTAATCTCTAAGCTTTCTCAGTAACAAAATAAGAATCACAACAACACTATAGGTTGTCCATGAACGTTAAATGAGATAACGTGTTCCTAGTTGCCCCACTCATTCATAAAAATAAGCAATGAATCAATATGTTAGAACTTTTTGTGACATTCCATATAATGCAAATATTAATAGATCTGGAGGGAGAGATAGACAGTAATACAATAATAATATTCAATATCTCACTTTCAATAATGGACAGATCATCCAGGAAAAAAAAATAAGAAAATATTAGAATTAAACTACACTTTAGACCAAATGGACTTTGATATGTACAGAACATTTCATCCAAGAGTAGGAAAATAGATAGTCCTCTCAAGCATACATGGAATATTCTTCAGACTGGGTCATTATTAAGCCACATGACAAGACTTAAATTTAAGAAGACGGGAAAAACATCAGATATCTTTTCTGACCGATATGGTACAAAACTAGAAATTAAGAACAAGAGTAATTTTGGAAAATTTAGAATTACACTGAAATTAAGCCACATGCTCCTGAACAATAAATAGATCAATTAAGAAATTAAAAAGCAAATTTTAAAATATCCTGTGACAGACAAAAACAAAAACGTAACATACCAAAAGTTATGGGATGCAGCCAGTACAGTTCTAAGAGGGAAGTTTAATAGCAATAAATATACTTCACAAAAGAAGAGAGGTCCCAAATAACCTAATGTCATATCTTAAGAAACTAGAAAAACAAGGGCAAACTAAGTCCAATGCTGAAAGAAAGGAAATAGAGCAGAAATTTTTTAAGATGTATGGCATTCCAACATCTTTTAAAATTATAATAATTTGCAAGCAAATACTGGCAGCTACATTTTGAGTATCAGATTTTAAACAACCAATGAAACAACTAATTGATATAAATGTCTAACTGGAAATTAATAACTATAAAACACTCTAGCAATTTCCAATTTCCTTTTATTTTAACTTAAAGGTGAGTTTCTCCAAAATACACTAATATATTCTGCAGTTGTTTGTGTAAGGAGAAAACAAGTAGACTTTTAAAAAGCTGATTATTAGTAAATGCCAATTTTAACAGACCAGGTCAATTTTCACAAATACTTTTTTTTTTTTCTGTGCAGTCAATCCTTAATGAAAATTAAATTCAGTTGACTAGCCCTAAATATCACCTCATTTAGGAATCTGCTCTCAATAACTATGACCCATTACAGAAAATTCATCTGAAGTTATGTGATGCTTTCTAAATTTTATTCCACCCCTTTGCAAAATCTTTTTTTCTCAGATAACATCTTACAGATGTCAAAGAAGTAAATTAGTGAATAGTTATCTTCTACTAGTCTGGTTTGACTATGAATAAATACACTTAGCTGTGGACAAAGATGTTTGCTGAGTGTTAATTTGAGAGAGAGGACTGTGGGAAATACACTGAGAAGGAATATGCAGAGTTGCATGTCACATCTAGTCTGAGGAACACTCAAATGTCAAGAATTCTGGATCTGGCCACAAACCTAACTATGATGACACTTAATATACCTCTTGGCTTTAATGTTCTCATGGGGAAAATTTAGAAGATTTTTTTTTTTTTTTTTTGCTTCCCAGAAGAAAAGACACAATGGAAAGTCAGAAATCCTGACAGTTGCTCCTACACTCTAAGACTTTAATAAGGGTATCAACTAAACATACCATAAATTTCAGTATATTGTATTTTAAGGAAATCAAGGATGTATTTCTCATGAAGTAATTCAAATGTTTACATCTGTTAAGAGTGGTTTCCAACCTTATTTATTCATTAAAGCAACAATGTACTAGGGACTGGGAATCAAGTGTTAAGACATAACAGGCTCCTTCCATCTGAATAGGGCTGAGACAGTGAATAAATGGAGAAACAACTAAAGCAAAATAAGCTCTCGTTGTGTATGAGGAAATCAGTAGAGTGATGCAATAGAGAGAACTTGGTAAAGATCATGGAGGGAAGATTACTTTAGGGTAGAATGATTCAAGAACGGGTGGACAGGAACCAAGGTATACAGAAGCCGGGGGGGGGGGGAACAGCACTGCAGCTATCATTATGCAAAACTAGACAAGTGGGATTACATTAAACTAAAAGACTTCTGCACACCAAAGGAAAAAATTCAACAGAGTAAAGAAACAACTTACAGAATTGAAGAAAATCTTTGTAAACCATACATCTGATAGGGGGTTAACATCCAAAATATATAAGAAACTCAACTCAATAGCAAGAAAACAGCACAATTTAAAAATGAGCAAAAGATCTGAATAGACATTTCTCAAAAGAAGACATACAAATGGCCAGTCGCTATATTTCTAAGATGTTCAGTATCATTAATTACCAGGGAAATCCAAATTAAAACCATAATGAGATATAATTTCATACCTATTAGATTGGCTAGTACTAAAAACACAAAAGGTAACAAGTATTGGAGAAGATACAGAAAAAAGAGAACCCTTGGTGGAAAAGTAAATAGAATAGTCATTGTGGAAAACAGTATGAAGTTCCTTAAAATATTAAAAATCCCAGCACTTTGGGAGGCATAGGCAAGAGGATTGCATGAGCCCATGGGTTCAAGACCAGCCTGGGCAACATGGCAAGACCTCGTCTCTAAAATAAATGAAATGAAATAAAATAAAATAAAATAAATTCGCTGGGCGTGGTGGCACACGCCTGTAGTTCCAGCTACTTGGAAAGGATTGCCTGAGCCCAGCAGGTTGTGGTTGAGATGATTGTGAGCATGCCACTGCACTCCAGCTTGAGCAACAGAGTGAGACTCTGACACACACACACACAAATTTTTTTTTTAATTAAAAATAGAGCTACTATATGAAGCAGTACTCCTACTACTGGTTCCAGTAGAAATGAAATCAGTATGCCGAGAGATATCTGCACTACCATGTTCATTGAAGCATTGTTTACAATAACTAAGACATTAAATCAACCTAAGTGCCCATAAACAGATGAATAGATAGAGAAAATATGGTGTATATATACATAATGGAATGATATTAAGTCTTAAAAAGAAGGCAATCCTGTCATTTGCGACAACATGGACAAATATTTTGCTAAGTGAAATAAGCCAGACACAGAAACACAAATACCACATGATCTCACTTACATGGGGAAATCTTAAAAGGAAGGCTCATTGAAATGGGAAGCAGAATGGAGGGGAAGGAATTGAGAAGATGTTGGTTAAAGAGAACAAAATTTCAGTTAGGCAGAGGGAATAAGTTAAAAAGATCTATGTTCAGCATGGCAACGATAGTTAATAACAATACATTTCATTCTTTAAAATTCCCAAACCTGCAGATGTAAAGTAATGCTAACCAAAATTCAAGCAAGAATTTTTACTTTTTAAAAGACATTAGCCGGGCTCGGTGGCTCAGCCTGCAATCCCGCGCCTTTGGGAGGCTGAGGTGAGTGGATTGCCCGAGCCCGCAGGTTCAAGACCCGCCTGGGCAGCAAGACCTCATCTCTACAATAAATCAAAAAATCAACCGGGCGTGGTAGCGCATGCCTGTAATTCTGGCTACTCGGAAGGCTGAGGCGGAAGGATCGCCGGAGCCCAGCAGGCGAGGGCTGCCGGTGCCGGGAACGGCCACTGTACTCCAGTCTGGGCGACAGAGTGAGACTC